ATCTTATGAAGAATAAAATCTTGCGCAAATTATCCAAAACTCCCAAAGTATGCATTCGCCAAAACATCGAATAGATGAAAAACGAATATCTAACTCATAAAAAGTTTGAATGCCGCGCATTCACCAAATTAATGAAAATGGTCGATACTGTTGCGCTTTCGCCAAATCTTCAATTACATCATTTCACGTTGCAGAAATATGCATTCGCCAAAACATTAAATAGATGGAAAATGAATAGTAAAAATGCTACGCATTCACCAAATTATACAAATACAATCGATACTGTTGCGATACCGCCAGATCTTCGAATACATCATTTTATGTTGCAGAACTATGCATTCGCCAAAACACCAATTCAATGAAAAACGTATTTTCTAATCTTATAAAACCTACCAATTGCCGTGCCTTCGTCGAAGTATCAAAAACCTCCGATAATGTTCAATTAGAAACGACATTTGTGTATGTTGCAGAAAAAAAATATATAATCTAATGAAGAATAAAATCTTGCGCAAATTATCCAAAACTCCCAATAATGTTGTGTCTCCGCCAAATCTTCAAATATATCATTCCATGTTGAAAAATATGCATTCGCCAAAACATCGAATAGATGAAAAACGAATATCTAACTCATCAAAAGTTTGAATGCCGCGCATTCACCAAATTAATGAAAATGGTCGATACTGTTGCGCTTTCGCCAAATCTTCAATTACATCATTTCACGTTGCAGAAATATGCATTCGCCAAAACATTAAATAGATGGAAAATGAATAGTAAAAATGCTACGCATTCACCAAATTATACAAATACAGTCGATACTGTTGCGATACCGCCAGATCTTCGAATACATCATTTTATGTTGCAGAACTATGCATTCGCCAAAACACCAATTCAATGAAAAACGTATTTCTAATCTTATAAAACCTACCAATTGCCGTGCCTTCACCGAAGTATCAAAAACATCCGATAATGTTGCGCTTTCGCCAAAATCTTCAAATACGTCATTTCATTTTGCGTTCGCCAAAACATCGAATAATTTTAAAAAAAATCGTATCTAACTAATATTCATCATCAAAGATGACTTAATATATTATAAAGAGAAGAAACATTGCAAAAATTATTCTTACATGATCGATCGACCAGCCTTTCGTCGATGAGAAATGGATAGTATGGCTGAAAATGATATTCAGTACATTACGAGAGCGCTGTATAGTGAATTCAACAGCTATTCCATGGGGCAACAATAAAACGAGCTGGACTCTGGATACAAAATCAACACCCGATATCGAAACCTAGCAACAATAAACTTGTGAATTTACGCCTGTAATGAGGCAGGGCATTGGAAGTGCATCGGGCGGATAGATATCAGTGGAATCGTATATCGCGGTGCCAGGAGGCGATCGATATACATATTGTAAATACAGCCAACCGCGGTTTGGTGTGCAACATCCATATAGTAGGAGAGCCAGCAGATTCCTACAGTCATCTGATAACGAAATGATATAATATGTTCCAAAGGAAAGTAAAAACATTGTAGCTCATCGAACGGCACCTGTGCCAATCACTGTCCTGAGCAAAATGATTAAAAAATAGCACTTTCCTGTGCGGAAATATGCACTTGATTATGCGATATGATAACGAGATAAGAATTATGCTATCCAATAGCAATTGAATGGTAGATCTCAAGAGCTTACCTGTTTCACCCCTCAGTCTGAGCCTAATCCACTGCACAGCGATTTATTTGCTTCTATTATTCCGGACATACTTTCACAAAATTCTTAATCACACGACATGTTCCGCTAATTTCACTATGATTGAAAATAGCCCTTTTTATATGGCGAACAGTCTCATACATGACTCAGTATATCAAATAGCACTTCCTTTCATCTATTGATTCCTTCACAACCGTTTACAATTAATACTTCAAAAGTGCTACAAATTGAGAGAGTTTCAAAAGACCATTTTTCGCGGTGTGACGTCACTAGTATTTTCTTGAGGCTCCCTCTGACGACCCAAAGAGGATGCGTTACACAAAACTACAGACACAGAACTCGAGCACAGAGTGGTTGGTTGATCTGTGACGAGAGAAAAATGGCTACAAAACAAACTATAGAAGAAGAAAAAGATCAACCTCGAAATCTAGTTCATAGTTCATTATTTCATTTCATTTTCAGTGTCATATTATAGTTTTTATTGACTGACAAATGGTGAAAAGACCAAGTGACAAGACGAATTACCCAATGAGAATGTCCGTCCGAAATGTATGACGCGGTGTGACGCACCTTGTATTCGCCCAATGAAATGCCATCAATATTTCGCGCGCATTCGAGCTATCGTTTGAATTCAGGTTCAATTTGATAATTTTTTTCTGGGTCAACCGAAATCGTGAGAAAATTGAGAAATGCTGAATTCACCCAGTATGTGTTCTAAATCGTGAAAAAAAATTCAAAAAATCATGGTGAAATTCCCTATTGAGAAAAAAAGACAAACAAAATATCATTTTGTTATCAGAGATGACGGTCGAAATTTGCAATCGGCTTCTGGACTAATAGGTCGGGATATTCAATATTGAGTATCCTGGCCAATAACACTCAGAATATTGGATATCTGGTAGATGCTCATAACAGTATACAGTATAACAGTATACAAGAGAAAATGCTCGAAAGTGTCTACACAACTTTTATAGATTAGTGCATTGTGTATCTAGTAGTATACAGGCTAATTCACGGTAGATGGCACATTAGAAGTTCCTGGTGAACCAAATAACGGATCCCTTTGAAAAGAAGAAGAGTACCCAACTGAAATATTTTCGACAATGCGGTTGCCACTTCTATCAGAAAGAAATGAAATGAAATATAATTTAAATTTTCTTTCTTCGAAAATCATGACCTCTAAAACTGCTGAGAATATTAAGAAGTACTATGAGTTTGGAGTTGAGTGATACTTAGAGGCTTTCCACACTTCAGCTCAATCTCCATTACTCCAATACAGATATTATTGATAATTCGGGAAGCTGCTGAAACTTGCTTTCTTTCTACGTATATCATTCCTATACGATACTGTTCAAGTTTCGGACTTATGAGCATTTATTTGTGAAAATGTCCCCACTAGGTATTTGGTAAGCTGGCCGTGATAACCATTTGACAGCAACGTTGTAACTATCAGCCAAGTATTTGATCACACGGTACAAAAAAATAATCAAAAAGATGCAGAAACAGCCAAAACCGAATGTTTGACACCCTGTAACTCGAAAACTTTACATAAAATAGACCTGTAAATTGGAACATATGTCATTTTTGAGGAAGATTATACGAAAGATCTTACCCATATCAAGTGTGCTGACTCCTTCAATGCCATTTCATCAAACCTTATAAAAATTAAAAATGTCGTTCCTTCACCAAAGTATGAAAATACTATAATAATGTTGCGCTTTCGCCAAAACTTGAAAATTTGAATTATTTGTGCGCTTTCACCAAATCTTCAAATACATTTTATGCTGCAGAAATGTGCATTCTCCAAAACATTGAATAAATGAAAATAGTAGATAGTTCTATTAGGACAAAAGTGACACTTCGTTTAACAAGTGAATTTTGCTTGCAGAGCGTCTAGCAAAGCCGAAAAAAGCATAATTTGCGAGTCAAACAAACCTATTTTTATCGGAATGAAACATGCTATTTTTTCTGCAACCGAAAGAATGAACTGAAATAAATATAAGTGAAGTAACCACCAATGTGACAAATTTGACAGATTATTTCAATAATATGATCAAGTAGATAGAAGCAAGACCTCAGACTACTTCACTTTATTACAATATTCCTGTTGACATGCATCATGTCAGTAGATCAGAGACTACAGGCACGAATTCAATACTAAACGTGGATCCCGTGCCATATGTATGCAATGCAATGAATAATCCGTGTGGTGAGAATATTCTACCTGCATTTACAGATCGGCATATCTTTTCCATATTCCACTATGCTTGGCTCGGTAATCAAATCAAGTTAATCAATATCGTTGTGTAAGAAGAAATGGTATTGCTGGCTCAGAAACAAGTTAGGTATCCAATCGATCAGATCCCGAGAATAACGAATGAACTACAGATCGAGCAAGAATATAATTCTTGAAGGCTTTCCTGATCAAAACAAAAATACTTACTTGGCGTATTTAAATCTCCAGCATGGGTATGAGATGCCAAATCTGCCGAAATCGGAAACAAATCAGGTATGCGTTCCAACCCAATGTTGTTTATTCATGATGAGCTACTACATCCTCTTTAGTTACTAGAAGCTAAAGTTCAACTGTGGCAATTCTAGAACTAATTTTGGAATAAAAATGGACGACATTTGTGTCTGTTGCAGAAAAACAAATATATAATCTTATAAAGAATGAAATCTTGCGCAAATTATCCAAAACTCCCAATAATGTTGTGCCTCCGCCAAATCTTCAAATATATCATTCCATGTTGAAAAATATGCATTCGCCAAAACATCGAATCGATGAAAAACGAATATCTAACATCACAAGTTTAAATGCCGCGCATTCACCAAATTAATGAAAACGGTCGTTACTGTTGCGCTTTCGCCAATTCTTCAAATACATCATTTCATGTTGCAGAAATGTGCATTCGCCAAAACATTGAATGGATGGAAAACGAATAGTAAAAATGCTACGCATTCACCAAATTATAGAAAATACAATCGATACTGTTGCGATACCGCCAAATCTTCGAATACATCATTTCATGTTCCAGAAATATCCATTCGCCAAAACATCAAATGTTGCGCTTTCGCCAAACCTTCTAGATTTAAATTATTTGTGCGCTTTCACCAAATCTTCAAATACGTTATTTCATTTCGCAGGAATATGCGTTCGCCAAAACATCGAATAAAAGAAAATAATCGTATCCAACTAATATTCATCAGCAAAGATGACACAATATATTTCAAAGAGAGGGAACATTGCAATAATTATTCTTACATGATCGATCGACCAGCCTTTCGTCGATGAGGAAACTTTATCGCAAGCCGACCAGACCGAATCGCATTACTCGGAAATTTGATCCTCGAACTTTTTTATCGCGCGAAGGTAAGGTGGCGGTAAAAGATTGGTTAATATTCCCGAAACTTGATTGGCAGAATTTCATTCGATTTGGTGTGTCTGGAGTTTAAAAAAAAGTGTTTAAAAGTGTTTTTAACCGCCAGCTTAGTTGCAAAGCAACCCTCGAAAGTCAGAGACTTGTGTGAGTTAAGAAGACGGGGACCTTAGCTTTTTAAGTGTCATCCGAAGCACTACTCGGCTGGTAACCGTGGACAGTCCAAAGGATTGATATCTAGGTACCAAGAATGTTGGGTTGGCCACCTATCTCCTCCCGCCCAACGAAACTACCGAAAATTAATTCAGTGCTCGCGCCGGGGATCGAACCCGGACCGCCTGGGCGACAGCCAGCGATTCTACGCTCACGGCCACCAGCCCAGTTGAGCTTTGTTCCTGAAGGTTTCTGCTTCAGGCTCTAATCCAGCCGAACTTCATCATACTTTCTGATATTTGCATCGGAATGCTACATGAAATATATTCAGAAACTTATTGGAAACTGTGCCATGGAAAACTACTGGAATACCGGATATAGGTAGAGTCCCTGAAAAATGACGAAAACTATTATCTCCTAAACTTTTTCGATTGAGTAACAATATTTTTCTGCAACCGACACAAAAGTCGTCCATTTTGATACCAAAATTAGCTCTTAAATTGACGTTTCTATTACTGACACAAAAATAGGTATGTTGCTAGGCAACATATTTAGTTCCTAGGAGCTAAAGTTGAATTTTAGTTCCTAGGAGCTAAAGTTGAATTTTAGCTCCTAGGAACTAAAAAGGATCTACTGGACGTCATCAAGAATAAACAACATTTTGACGGTTGGTTATTTGGGTTGAGACGCATACCTGATTTGTTTCCGATTTCAGCAGATTTGGCGTTTCATACCCATGCTGGAGATATAAATACACCTTTATTATAGTTTAGTATTGGAGTTATAAACATCTCAGTTAAGTATTTTTGTTTTGATCAGGGAAGCCTTCAAGATTCAAATACTTGCTTGATCTGTATTTCATTCGTTATTCTCGGGATGGATAACTTGTTTTTGAATAATCACGGCAAGCAATAGTTTTTTTGTCTCAAACAACGATATTGTTTAGCTTCATTTTGATCATCAAGTGAAACACAGTGTAGTATGGAGAGGAATAATTAATCACTATTATCATTGTTGATATGCTCACTAACCTAACATTTTCCACGTCTTGTTCCTATGGCACGGTATTTGCCATTAGAGCACCCGGTCCATACACAAATATGTCACTCTGTGGTTGTATTTATATTGAAACTACAATTCGAACATCCTAGAAAACCTAACCTGCTGTTAATGCAGGTAGAATATTCTCACCACATGGATTATTTGTCAATATTTGTTGCATTGCATACATATGGCACGGCATTGGTGGTTACTTCACATGTTCATTTGAGTTAATTGTTTCGGTTGCAGAAAAAATAGCATGTTTCATTCGGATCAAAAGTGACTTTGTTCGACTCGCAAATTTTGCTTTCGCTCGGCTTCGCTAAACGCTCCGCCTCGCAAATGCAAAATTCGCTTGTCAAACAAAGTGTCACTTTTGATCCTAATAAAACAATCTACTATTTTGGCCACTGGATATGTCATAACTGGAGAACTTTGATGAATTTTGAACAATGAATATCAAAATGAATAGAATTGATGGATCTTTCAAATGCTGATTTTTAAAATAGTTATCGCTTCCTGAAAAACGTAAAAAATTCAATGGACCACTTGTTTCTTTGAGCACATCAGTTCGTATAGCTCCCTAAGGATAACAAATATAATAATAATCTTTGGACCAAAACTCAAAAACTGAAAATGTATGCTTTAAACAAGTTTGCGAGTCACTTGATACGAACCTATTGGTAAAGTATATCCAAAGTCCAAAGTCGAATCGATTTAGGATAAACTTCACATATTTCTATCGAACAAATGTCAAATTCAAGACATCACTAATATCGAACCTCTCGTTCCAGGTCGACCCACCGTAGCCCCTACGAACAAAAGCATTACGGCCCTGTACGGGCAGCCGCTCACCTTGACCATGGAATTTTGTGCCAATCCCCGATACACCAAGGTCATCTGGATAGCCAAAGACCAGAAGATCTACAAACCTGGCGATGCTGATGAGTGTGTCATAGCCTACGGTATAACGGTGAGTTTTCAGGTGGATTTGTATCCAATTCGTTTCGAGTTGTCATTTGACCCATTCTCAAGGATTAGTTATTTCCTAATGGGGTTGAGCAGAGATTCAGAGGAAAGCATTCTCATTCATTAGCTTCAACAGTAAGTTTTTCTTGAGAGGTTTAGGTGAGTTGCAATTTTCCGACTCAAGGCATTCTATTTTTCCTCATTAGCAAAACTAACGAGGGAAGCGTGATTCTTCTCTGATGTTTTGTAGAGTTTCAATTTCGCCAGTTTCTCAGAGGTGAACAGACTTTGTTGCTATACCCGAACCTAGAATAATTATTCTCTCATTTCTATTATTTAGACTCAATCTGAGAAGTTATTTTATGATAATCTGAGCTTCAAGTTGTGTTTTAGATGAGTTTGAATTCCAGATTCAGCTGAAATAACTCGTCACTCTCGGATTATCCTATTATAAGGCACAGATCCGACCTGTCCTGGAATACTGTTCCGATATTCGGAGTACAGCACCCAAACATACCCTGTTGGATTCTGCCAAAAAAGTGGGTGATGCCTCGCTCACAAACTCACTCACTTCTCTGGAACACCGTAGAATCTGGCTCTATTTCATAGATATTTCCAAGGACGATGCTCTTCCGAAATATCAACAATTGCTCCTCCTTTGACAGTCTCCACGAGATTAACCCGTCGAGTTGAGGCTTCGCACCCCTTCGTGGTCACTTTGAAGACCTGCAGAGCATCTCTTTCCAAAAACTCGTTCATCCAACGAACAGCAAGGCTTTGGAACACATTGCCAAGGGAGGTGTTCCCCGAGGCATATAACCTCGAGAAATTCAAGAAGAACACTAATTCCTACCTTATTTTCCTTGGTTCTCACGATGTTCTCTGAACATTACAGGACATGAAAAAATATTGCCGCTTGATACCTACAGATTTTTTAGATATCCAATATTCCAATAGGAAAGTTCCTCAATTAAGGTTATGCAAAGTTGGGTATGAGAGATTGCTCAGCTCCAATCCTTATAATATTTGTGGATGAACTGGGGAAGATCCCATGCTCGAGACTATACAGAATGTCATCACTAATGATGACGTAAAGGAATTGTGAGATTCCACTTGTGATGATATCTTCTGATTGAGGTCATAGGTACTGAAATTCTGACGAAATATTGGAAAATTTGCTTTGTTTCAACCGTGATAGTGTTACCGATGGACTGAGATTCAATAGAAAAACTTCTGTAGACTGCTAATTATTAGTTCATAAGCTCCAATATTGTATTTTTTTGTATCAAGAGGACTCGTTAATCTTCAGTTCTGGTAATATGTTCCCTGACTGAAGTCATAAGAGACTTCTGAGGAAAAATAACTCATTCATGAGCTTGACAACATGATCGGAAGCAAGAGTAGTACAAGTATCATAAAAATGTTGATGATATCATCAAAATCTTCACAACCATAAAGGAATAAGTTGTTGAAAGTGAAAAGTAATTTCCAACAGTGTACCTATAATGATGCTTTTCAATAAAACAGCTTTCGAGGGTGTGTTTGACTTCGAATGCTTCTAGATTTCAATGCAAACAAAACACAATAAGCATGCCTTTTCTCTAGAAAAGCCGATTGCACTGTGCCCAACATAAGCTTGTCAGGAGTAACCATACCTTCGAAGACATCCATTTCGATGCTTGGAATTACTATCAGCAATAATCTTTCTTGGGAAAATCACGTGAGATCAATTGCTAGAAGTGCATCCCAAAAACTTGGTTTTCTGTTTCGGGCCAGGAGCTATTTCACTTCCAGTCAGTGCCGTAAATAGCCTTTCCTGCGCCCTGTGCGAGCTTCTATAACTGCGCCCTTATATATTGATTTAATTTCGAGTACTTGGTATGTTAAAGGTTTGAATAGAGAAGGTAGCATAATATAAATTGCATTTAAGTATGAATTGGTGAAAAAACATTTATTCGAAAATATTTGCAAGATTATTTACAACTACATAATACATAATACACAAATGATTGAGACCACAAATGAATGAGTTCAGATAGTGAAGATTCTTTCAAGCAAGCCATGAACATTTTCACAGATTTACTTTTCGCGCTTTCTTCATTGCGAAATCGTCGATAACTTTTTCATACGACAGGCAGCGCCCTATGCCGCGTTCAATCGACAAAATCGCTAGGCCGGTCAACCTTTCTTGGCCGATCGTAGAGCGCAAGTAAGTTTTTATTAGTTTGAGCTTACTGAATGATCTTTCGCAGGAAGCTACAGTCACTGGCATTGTTAAAAAAATCTTTATAGCGACTACTACATTGGGAAACATATCTTTCAAATCTAGTTCGACTATAGCTTTAAGAAGACCCAGACTTGTACTACGGTCACATTTATTAAATGATATAGTCGTTTCAGCTTGACTCTTTAAAGTGTCTAATTCAGCCCAAAATTCAGTATTATTAATATCTGCTGAATATTTGATACTCAAATCAGCGGCATGTTTTTTTAGTTCTTCAGCTGGATATTTAGCAATATTTTCTATTGTCAAAAAATTAAAAAGGTGGTGAATATTGTGAAGTTTCTCGAATCTCCATGTGAATTCAGAAATCATTTTATCAATTGCTTCATACATATTAATTTTGAACCTTTGCTGTGGGGTAATATCGTAGCCGGCGTCTGAGATTTCTCCAAGGTCTTGTCTTTTCACTCGCTTTTTACGTTTTTCCGGAAAATAGTCCTCAATTTCACATTCTGCACAAACTTTTTCTGCCTTTTCAAAAACGTTATCTATAGTCTCGCGAATATTCTGAATCTGCCTTATTAATCCTTTGATTAATTCAGAGGCTTTGTCAATAGCAATAGTTTTCGACTGTAAAGCTACGATCACCCTATCAACAGACTCTAAAACTTGATCCCAAATTTGCAGAGTACATATAAATTTATAGTTTATTAGACCCATAATGATTTTAGCTGTAGCTACTGTTTCTGCATTGTAATCGTTGGTAGTTAAAATCTTCAGTGCACACCAGATTTGGGGCAGTTGCATATTTAAAGCTTTAACGGCTCTAGCTTCAGAAGCCCATCTAGTATCGGCATGTTTCTTTAAAGAAATTTTTAGATGTTTCATTAAGATTTCCCATCTGATGGTAGAACTCGAAAAAAACAGAAATATCTTCTGAATTGTTCCAAAAAATGTGATCATGTCGGGTGTTACACTAGCGGCATGTACGCCAGACAAATTCAAAGAATGTGCTGCACAAGGTAGGTATTCAGCATTTACATTGATTTGTTTAATTTTGGTTTGAACTCCGTTATATTTACCAGCCATGTTACTGCCATTATCGTACCCTTGGCCACGAACATCATCAATTTTCAATCCGTCAGCTTCTAATTTCGTTAAAATTTCTTTTGATTGAAAAATGAGCGCGGTGTTTTGTCTACTCTTGATGATACTGGCATGTAGGTAAGTATGTGTTGGAATCGAGCACTAGGGGCGCAGCAATAACGGGAACTCATCATGAGCAAACCGAAACAATGATAGTCCTGCCTGCTTTGGCCATTCTTTCTTGCGCCCCCCAGAGTCTACGCCCTGTGCCTGGGCACCGGTGGCACCGCCCTATTTACGGCACTGCTTCCAGTCAACTGCTTATATGATCTATAAGGCACAGATCCAACCTGTCCTGGAATACTGTTCCCAGATTTGGAGTGCAGCACCCGAATATACTCTGAAACTGTTGAATTCTGTTTAAAAAAGGGCAATTCGTCTCGTGGGTGATGCCTCGCTCACAAACCCACTCACTTCTCTGGAACACCGTAGAGAAGAGTTGGCGATTTGGCTCTATTTTAAAGATATTTTCATAGACGATGTTCTTCTGAAATATCAACAATTGTTCCCCCCTTGGCAGTCCTCGCGAGATTAATCCGTCGAGTTGAGGCTTCGCACCCCTTCGTGGTCACTTTGGAGACCTGCAGAACATCTCTTTCCAAAGACTCGTTCATCCAACGAACAGCGAGGCTCTGGAACACGACATTGCCAAGGGAGGTGTTCCCCGAGGCATATAACCTCCAGAAATTCAAGAAGAACACCAATTTCTACCTTATTTCCCTTGCTTCTCACGATGTTCTCTGGACATCACAGTAAATCCCTTTTTGTAGGAACCAGAACATGAAAAAAAAGACTAAGATGATACAGAGTAATATTTTCAACATGACTGAAGGCTTCAACGAGAATCTTATTTCTCATGCTTTTTTTCCAGAATTCATCGGAGCCAAACTGTCATCAAGCCGTGCTCTTCCTGCCCAAAGTGACGTCATCGGACACGGGCGAATACACTTTCATAGTGAAATCTCCCAACGGTTTGGCGGAGGGCAATTTCCACGTCAATTTGACATATGTCAGCGGCTATAACGTCCATATCGATGAAGTCAGAGTGGAAAGCAGCAGCAGCGACTCTGGTCGCGTCTTCACATCAATTCATATGCATGTGATTGTTTGGATACTACATATAATGATTGTTATTATTGACTGAATACTGAATTAGAATATCGTTCGAAAGCGTCAATTGGAGTTGAATACTGACTTGGCAACTTTACTGTCTGTCTAAATAGATTTTTTCTGGATATTTTTACGAAGTGGTCGGTGTTGACTCCAAGTATCGTTTTCTACCGTTTCATGTATATACCTAGTCGGGTACTATTTGTGGGTGGTACCGCCAAAGATAATGGCGACTGTCGTGTTGTTATTATCTTTGGAGTATTATCTACTTATACGATGTAATATTTTTTAATGTATAGTTTTCTATTGTTTTGCAAACAAAAATATGTATAAAATTTGTTACTAGACGGCGCTTAAATGTAATAAAGAATGAATGTACGAAAATTATGGTGATAATAAAAATAAACGTCCAAGAATCCGAGTGTTATGATTTTTTTTTATCATTTTCCCCTTGGTATTATTTTGACTGATATATCAGGAGAGATCAGGATATCACGAGGAGATATTGAAAGAAGTCTGAAGATGAAAATAACTCCGCTATATTATTTAGGAAATCGAGAACATTCTGCATACAAATTTTCAGCTCATTCTG